GGAGAATAGAGATTAGGAGGCAGACAGGTAGATAGGAGGAGACAGACATGAATGAGAGAGAGAGAGAGGGGGGGGCGACGAGCCGAGAGAGAGAGGGGGGAGCGAGAGAGAGAGGGGATAGATAAAATAGATAGGGAAGTTGAGAGAGAAAGAGAGGGGAGAGAGAGAGAGGAGAGGATAATGGAGATGAGAGAGCGAGAGAGAGGACGAGAAGGATGAGATTGAGAGAGCAGAGAGAGAGAGAGACAGATTCATCGCCAGCGATGAGGACATGCGCCTCTTAACGTTCTCCATGTGTTCCTGTATCGCCGACAGCCCACCGTCTCCATCCGCCAGCCTCAGGTTAGGCTAGCTTGAGTTCATGTCACACTGTTTGTGTAGTCATGTGATCTGTGATGTTTGTCCATGCCACAGGATTGAAGCGTTGTGTAACGCATTCCGATTATATGATGATTTTACTTAGGCAAGTTGCCAGAAGTTCAAATGTAGATAGTGTTAAGGTACCTGCGAACCTATGCTGATGGCATTATTAGATTACCCACAAGATACTCGCGATTTACCGACTCCATAATGACGTTGGTCGATAATGTTGTTAAACCTAACATGGTAATGGAGGGGGTTCTATATAATTGAACGAAGCAGCTTGTGGGACTCGTGAACATGTTGCTTTGACCGCCTTCAGATGAAACGTAACCCATTGCGTATGATTATTAATAACGTGATTAACGATTTAGCGATATGAATAATGACATGTAATCATCATCTGTTCATCGTCATCTAGCATTTATTGATCATCAATCATCGTCAGCGTGTGGCACCAGCAACGACAACAACGAGCGTAGCAATAGCAGTAGCAGAGCAGGCGTTTTAGCAGCGCGTGGGAGTTGCCAGTAACATGCAGCAGCAAAGCATCACAGCGGAAGCAATAGCATAGCCAGTAGCTGTAGTAGCAGCTAGGCATGTGGAGGGTTGTGCAGCAGTCAATAGCAGCAGAAGAGGAAGCAGCAGCAGCAGCAGCGCAGGCAACAAGCACAACAACTAGCAACGATCAAGCAAGCAGCAGTGTCGAGGAGTGAATCGGTCAGCAGGCAGCGCAGCAGTAGCATTGTCAGCAGCAGCAGGCAGCAGCCGAGTAGTAGCAGCAGCAAGCGAGCACACGCAGGAGCAGCAGCAGCAGTAGTGTTAGCAGCAGCAGAAGCAGTCAGTAGTAGTATGTAGCAGCAAGCAGCAGCAGCAGTAGTCAGTAGCAGCAGCCAGCAGTAGTCGTAAGGTTAGCAGCAGCAGCTGTCGAGTTTGGTAGTGGATGTCAGCAGTAAGCGAGCCGGAGTTAGTTCTAGTTTAGCAGTAGCGCAAGTAGTTAGTAACAGCAGTAGCAGCAGCAGTAACAGCAGTTAGCAGTAGTGATAGCTAGCGCAGCAGTAGTGCAGCAGTATGTTAGCAGCAGCGAGTAGCAGCAGTAGCCATGTAGCAGCGAGCAGCATGTAGTAGCAGCAGTAGTAGCAGCAGCAGTAGCGAGCGAGTGAGCAGGTAGCATTAAGCAGCAGCAGTGAGTAGCAGCAGTGAGTAGCAGCAGCAGTAGTAGCAGCAGTAGTAGCAGCCAGCAGTGCCGAGCAGTAGCAGTAGCAGCAGAGCAGGTAGTGAGCAAGGCAGCCAGAAGTAGCAGCGAGTGGTCTAGCAGCGAGCCGAGTAGTGCAGCAGCAGTAGTAGCCAGCCAGTAGTAGCGAGCGCAGCAGTAGTGAGAGTAGCAGCAGTGTTAGAGCCAGCAGTTAGCAGCAGTAAGCAGTAGGCAGCAGCAGCAGTGTAGCCCAGCAGCAGAGTAGCAGCGTAGTAGCAGCAGCCAGTGAGCAGCAGCAGCAGTAGTAGCAGCAGTTGAGGTGAGCAGCAGCGCGAGTTACTGTAAAAAATGTTTCTCGGCTGCTATTGACTATCAGCCTTGTGTAATCAGCATCACCAGTCACGAGTCATATGCTGAGGAGTCATGAACACCCGATGGGGTTATTAGTGTCGAGGCAGCAACGCGTTTAGCTCAAGACACACACACACACACACACACACACACACACACACACACACACATTTCCTTTCTCGCCCACCTTCCTCTCCTATTCCCGTCTCCCCTCTCATTTCCTCCATCTCTCACGACCCATCCCCCCCGCTATCATCATCCCCCTCTCTTTTTTGTTCGTCCCCGTCTTCTTCGCATCCTACCCTCCTCCTATATCGCTCGTGTGCACAACCCTGCGTATTAGGGCAATGGGAGCGTGCATAACACGATTACATGACCAGTCTACATGCACACACGTGAAATCCTCTCTATCGCATGCTCGCAATGAAAGATGCTACGGGGGGATAAAACTAAATCTCTTCACTCATATATCAACTTGTTCTGCTAGCATCTATGACAAATACGACATACGCATATACGCTCTCCTATGACACTCTTTGTCATAGGAAGATTCTTCCTATGACAAATATTGTTGTATGTGTTGTGCGCATCATAGGAGTTTAGGAGCGCTATTATGAACGCATGCAAGCAGTGGATTTCAGCTGTAAAGCGCAACGAAGTTGACTCGCCAATATTTGTTATAGGAATAATCTTCCTACGATAGGAGAGCGTATATGCGTATTAGTATGTGCGGGTATAGTATAATATAATATAGCTATAATATAGTATAGTATAGCTATAATATAGTATAATATAGCTATAATATAGTATAATATAGCGGGCGGATATAGTATAGTCTAGTATACGCGTACGTTTGCGTGTTTGTGCGTGCGCGTGGGCATGTGTCTGTGTGCGTGTATGTCCGCGTGCGTGCGTGTGTGCGTGTGTGTGCGTGTGTGCGTGTGTGTGCGTGCGTGCGTGTAGTGTGTGTGTGTATGTATGTGCGTGTTTGTGTGTGCGTGTGTGCGTGTGCGTGTCTACTATATGTTCGTATTGAAGCCAGTGTTGGCGCGTGGAATGTCTGCGAGTTGATTAGAAAGTGCAAATAGTCGCGAGCTCTCGCTCATACTAAGTGCTGAGAGCCCGTGAGAGTTTCATACACGCTCGCTTTATATTATTATTCTAGTCTTGATCGCGAGAGAGAACTCGCTTCTAAACTCTCCAGTGGCCGTGGCGACGCTGACG